GTAGTTATCACTTACATCGACTAAACTTACTATTTTGTTTTTAGGTGTAAACACGGGAGATTGAATGGTGTGATCACATATTTCCATATTAAAATTTATATTTTATCTAAGCACAGAATAATTGGAACAACACTCCGTTTTGAGGTTTGCATAAGAACAGAATTAGAAACAGGCCTCACAGATCGTCTTACTATTGGGTATTAACTTGATTTCAAGAAATGTTTACTGAGAAACAACAGAGGGTCAAACTTTTTTAGGTTATTTGAGACTATTAACTATGTCAAGTCAACACATTGTGGCTATGAGGTTAACGTGCCCGGATTATTAATCCGAGGATTCACTGTTTACAACTCGTTGCCGCAACTTTGAGGCCATGGGTACGCTCTGAGAGTGGCGGTCAAATCCCAATGTTCGATTAGACGAAAATAGCTTAATAATTGGCGGTTGGTGCTGCTTACAAGTTGCCTTCACTCTAGCCTGTCCATTCAAAATTAGAGACAACTATGCGTAAATATTGCGTTTTGTATCCTTGCGCGAAATTCTCTCACACACAAACATATTACTGATGTTTACGTAAACATCATGCTTGTTGTATATCCATTGCTTCGTTTTTCTGTGCCAAGATTGTAAAGTGTCTGATCTAAGCGCGAGTTTGTCGTGGAAATTCTACATTCTCAAGGAAATTTGATGAGCATCTGCCTACTTAATATTGTTTCCAAATGTCTGTTATTCACTTTGTTGATTTCGGTTACATTTGCAATTGTTTAAACGCTCGAAAAGGAAACCTCATAATTGGATATAACTTGTAAGTAATAAAGAGTAGCCTCATAATGGAATGTATAACTTTTAAATAACGAGTAGCTTGGTAATAATATGTATATAACTTATGTTTAAGTTATATACATATTTAAACGAGCGTATTTATTCTGAACAGTGATTAACCCTATGATCAGATATAGCTTGTGGATAATAATAACGAATATATGTCTGTTTTTGTTTTTTTTAAATTAAAACTGTAAAAGACAAAAAAGGAATAATCAGATATAGAATATATAGAGTAGGGATGTAAGCTATAAAACAGGCATGTACATGGGAAGCAGATGTGCACGAGCCTAAAGACAGGCATGTAAGTGGGGAATAGATATTTGTGCACTAGGAAACAAGCTGTTAAGCTTTCTAGTTGCTCATTTCTTATAAAATATTTATATATATACACACACACACACAATATATATATATATATAGTATAGTGTGTGTGTGTGTTCCTTTACTGATACAAATTGGGCCTGTTGCTAAAGCATCAACTATTAAGTTAGTATAAATTATTGAAATGCTTGCACATTCTCATGTACTGAAATTTAAGTGCTTTAGGTTTCACGCTACCATATAAAAACTATATTTTCAATTTAGATTTTTATGCTAATTACATGTCTGATCAGTTGTGTTTTGTAAGTTTCATGGCAGTAAAAAAAAACTGACTTGTCGCGCAGCAGGGTTGATGACTGGCTGACTGAACAGTAAAGGTCATTAGTAATATATAAACATTCATCCAATTCTCAACAAGTAGATTAAACTCGATGCCAGTGTCGATAGTTGTGAGGAACAGGAAAGGGAGGATGGAGTGGCTAGTGAATACCCCTCCCTCCCGACTATTTCCGCAGCCTTTTCTAACTGTGTGCTGGAACGCATACCCACGTGGTTGACCCAGGGTCATTTTTGTACTACTTGCTGTTTCTCGAGACTGTCATGTAGTTTCTGGAGAGTGTCGTGCAGTGTTGGTCGTATTAAAGTGTGCTCTCGTTGACATCCATGCACAGCCTCCGATTCGGAGTTTTGAATCGACTGTTTCTCGGCGCTTGCAACTGGAAGAGATTTTTATATTTTAGTACTTGGGGTCTAATATTTATGGATTTAGCTCATTCATACTTTAATATGCGTATGCACAGCAGTCAATGTTCTTAATATTCGAAGTTATTTTAAAGGATATACGACACTTGAGTACCAGAGTTATAAATGTTAAACATCCTTTAACACCAGGCCTATAATAGTCTAGTCTATATGTAACATTCCTTCATGGTGTTATTACGTAGGAAAATTCGGGAGCACGCGAGGACAAGAGTGAGTCTAAATTGATTCTATTCGTGCAGGATAGAATATATAGTAGATAAAACTTGACATGGTTCGTCATATTTTGCCATATTCTTCGTTTATTCAGCTTGACATTTTTAATACTACATAAGCACTGTCACGCAGAGAGAGAAAATGAAGAATCGCGAAAACTGTTTTATGATAAAGTCTCCCATGTTGGCATTACCGGAACATCTTTTGTATTTAAAGTTTGGATATGGAGTTTATGAGAACCTTCAATAACAAGATTTGTTCACAGAACACTGACATGGATCCAGAAGGTCTGCATATAAACAAACTCAGTGTTTAGCCACATACATAACGTTATATTTACCTATAAGGTTTGTATAGTGTTTGTTGGTACTAACGCGGTGGCTTTTATTCCAGTCTGTCAGTATCTATATTTTGTTTTAAGAAATTTTCCATTTTCTAACGTTGGGTTAAAGAGTTGTTAGCCAAACGAGATTCCAGTGCGTGTATAAATGTTTGTTTTTGTTTTTAATATAGTTAGTTTTTGATATGGTAGACAAATCTCAAAGACTGTGCTTTTTGGGTAAAACGAGTCTACTAGGGTGAAATTACGAAGTTTGTATACACGAGAAGACATCGATGACATAAGCAGCTTGGTGTCGAAAAGCCAACCCCCTAAACCATGCTGCGATGAATGGTCCACCTTTACCGCCTCGACAACAACGTCCGTCGAAAAAGCAGACGGAGCGACCGCCCACTCCGCCGCGTCGAAATCCCGCAAATATCAATAGAGGAGCGTTGCAATCCTATCCTGAATCTGCGCGTCTTGTGCAGCAAGAGAGAGCTGACTTGTCTGCACATGAGCCCAGTGCTAGCAGGGCGTCCCGTGTTAATTATTCGACTGTCAGAGACAGAAACGTTATCGAATCTACTCACATTGTAACCAGTACGCCCCTACGGCCACTTCCACCTGTGTCTGTCCGTTCATCACCCAGTTTGGATGCTTTCCAGGAGGTTGAAACTTTTTGTCTTTCCAATAATGAAGCTCACAGAACTGTTAGTGAAAACGTTCTGTTGCAGCCAGACCAGAAATATCATGATGAAACACAGTCAATTCAGGATCGCACTACGTATCACCCAGTAGAAAGTTTTTTGACAAGTGACAACGCGAGAAGTAAAATGGAGCCTGTTTCTCAACAGTTTAATTCGTTTTTCATTCCTCCTCCTCCTCCAGGAACCATGGAGGATGGAGAAAGGGCAGCAGAAGACAGACAAAACATGATGGACGAAGGCCACTCTGACAGTAGCGAAAGTACAGTCTCTTTTTGTTGGAAAGAAGGTGAAGATTCTTGTCAAGAAAATACTTCACCATCCAGAAGTCGATATTCTCCAATGAGTTACGAAGCTGGAAGGCCATTATGCAAGGCCGATATGAACAGAACTTCGATTTATGATAACGTTACGAGTTGTTTTTCAGATAGACATGCAGATAACAAATGTTTATATTCTTCTGAAGTTTCCCCAGAAAAAGTCTATTATGGAGAAAATCACTTAGAAAATAATAATGAAGCGTATAAAAGAAGTTTTAATGGTGTTGCTGGCTACAAACAAAGTGGGCCTTATAAGGCTCATAGTGACGATTATTTAGCTCCACCTGTTAACTATACTTTGGAGCACCATAGACAGACATCTCCAATAAATGGAAGTAGGAGACCTCAAAGAAATAATAACATGGATTCCCAGGATGCTACTAAATATAGTCGTGGAAGATTTGGCTCACGTGCTGTATGTGATGCACTTGGTGATTCATATTACGAAAGTATTAATTTGAAAGGAGAACCTCCCTATGATTTACAATCTATTCCAAGAGTTTTTTGTAATTCAGATAATGAGGTTGAGAGTTACAAGGTTAATGAAGTAAGTAAAAGTGGTTCGAGGAGAAATGGCAACACTGATAACAGAAGCGAAAATCACTTAGTTACATCGTCAGCAGAACTTCTTAGACCTCCTAGTAGAAGAAAAGTCATCCCGCGTATTGAACACTACAGAGAAGTAGCTTATCAAGTGGAGGTGGAGCCTCCCGAGCCAGAACACCCCAGTTGTCGGGCAAACAATGAAAGAGATCAGCTGAAAGTGGCAGGTTTTTTCCCTAACAAACCACCATCAGGAAATTCACGTCGAAGTTCAACGAGTTCTTGCAAGAGCCCAATACCAGAAGATAAGGCAGGACGATATGGAAGCTATGATGGATACCAACCCTCTTCTCCAGGTATAAATAATCACCTCAAGAGTCGTGGGGGAAGAAGAAGCTTGGGGACTGTTGGAGACAAGATAGCAGTTAGCCCCCAGTTCCGTTCCAGACTTGGCAGTGATGCAGAGAGAATGAGCGGAGGAGGAACTCCGAGCAGCAGTCGTGGGCCAACACCCCCTCCACCGGGACATGCTGATTTGTCCCGTTTTGAAGAATGGAATCACGTTGTATACCGACCTCAATGCTACACACCCACACGATGTACAAACAGAACAAATCGAAATAGTCTCCCACCTCCCGGAGATTGCTGTTATTGGCATTCTTATTATTCCTATTGTCATCATGGATCCTCGCCGTACTGGTGCCGTTCTGAAAGGAACCCATGTTGTTCAGGTCGTTGTACTCCGGTTATTTACGGGGTAGGTTAATTTTTATATCAGTTTAGTTTTGTGATTATCCGTGGTATAATTCTTAATAATACCAGTTAAAAGTGCCGATAGAATAGAAATTAGTACAAAAATGATCTTGCTTTTTAATGTTCACGTTCTAATTATGTAGTTATGCACCTCTGTATTTGTATGTTGTTTCAGTGTAGGCGTATTTCATCTTCTCGGCTTTATATTATACGTTTTTAATAAAAAATTAAAAACTTTTTTCAAAAATTGATTAAGTAAAGAATTATTAAAAATGCAACTTGACTTTCGACTTTATCTTTGTGCATAAAAGAATACGAAAAATAATTTTAATCAATTTGAATTACAAAAAAAAACCTCGTCACACATACAGGTTACTTTCACCCTCTTTTCTACTCCACATACTTTTGAGTTCGTTTTTTATTTTGTTTTATCGATCTTCTTTATTTTGAGGGTTTGTAAAATTAGATGAAGAATGATTAGAGTTTTTAGTCAACAGATCTGGGTGTTATTTATTCGGGTTCGAAAAATGAACAATACTGAAATTTGGAATAATTTTGATTACTATTTATTTGATTTATAAAATACGCTAATTGCATGTAGATGCGAATGTCGATTGATTTCTTGATGAAATGTATATTCGTGTTTGTATATTTCAAATGTCCCCCCCCCCCAGTGGCACAGCGGTATGTCTGCGGACTTACAACGCTAGAAACCGGGTTTCGATACCCGTTGTAGTCAGAGTACAGATAGCCCATTGTGTAGCTTTGTGCATAAATTCTAACAAAAAATGTTTCAAATTATTATGTTTGGTACGAACGATAATATTCAGGGTTGCCTTTAAGTATGTGGAAATATTAGTTTGTTTAAACAAGTTTCTTTGCACTGCTCAGCAGGAAAAAATGCACTAATTAATTATAATCGGTTGGTTTTTAATCCCAGTAAATACGTTACTGGTATTTAATGGTTTATTTGAAAAGCCTTATGTAAGTATTTATTTCTGTGTGGAGCATATCTTTTTTTTTTTTTTTGAAGACAACGTCGCTTGACGATAAGCTTAACGTATAAAACTGTTAGTCCTTCAAAGTGCTTCGGTTGATATATATAGTTTTTGTTACACGCTCTTGAAGAGAGAGTAGACGTAAAGCCAGTCTACATCATGTTAGGTATGCACAAACATTGAGGAATATGTAACATCAGTCAAGTTTTTATTCGCGTTCTTCTGTTTTAGTGGTTTGATAGATCAACCATGTTTACGTTTTGATCAAATCTTTCTTTCTATATATATATATATATTTCTTATATATATATATATATATATATAAGAAATAAAATCTAATTCCGAATTTAATAAATATCTTTAATGTCTTCTCTTGGTGTACGTGGATGTTAGTGGACATAGTAGTTATTCTTTAACGTCTTCTCTTGGTGTATGTGAATGTTAGTGGACATAGTAGTTATTATTTAATGTCTTCTCTTGGTGTATGTGACTGTTAGTGGACACAGTAGTTATTATTTAATGTCTTCTCTTGGTGTATGTGAATGTTAGTGGACACAGTAGTTATTATTTAATGTCTTCTCTTGGTGTATGTGACTGTTAGTGGACATAGTAGTTATTATTTAATGTCTTCTCTTGGTGTATGTGAATGTTAGTGGACACAGTAGTTATTATTTAATGTCTT